AAGAAGTAGTGAAACAAACGGATCAAACAAATGGATCACAAGAACTAAGACAAACGAGAGGTCGGAAGAAGACAAAGACAATACCACAAGAGTTGGTAAAACAAAGTGATAGTGATTTCGTGGATAAGGTGGTGACTAATGAAGACTCGGATGAGAGGAAGACATCGACGACAGACACAGACCTCAAGAGTATTAAAGACAAGACATGTTATGAACGGCTGAACCGAAAGCCAAACCGAGTCTTCAGAGTAAAGATAATTCATTGCGATTACAAAGACTGTGACTATAAGTGCCGATCGGACGCAGGACTGGCCTCTCATATGAAATCACACGACAATCAAAAGACCGAAGCCTATAGACAGCAACGGCTATCCCTTCACCACCGGTGCTATCATTTGTCCACCAAATCATATATATGTGACGAAACCGACTGCGAGAAGGAGTACAAGAAGTTTAAGCACTTAAGAGCACACATAACTCGTACCCATATTAACAAAACCATTTGCTGTGATTATACCGATTGCGGGAAACTCTTCAAAACGTTGACCACAATGAGAGCGCACTACAAGTGTGTCCACAGCGACGACAAGCCATTCAAGTGTCCGTACAATGACTGCGGACAACGGTTTATAAACAACAGCCGATTGGAGTTACATGTGGCCAGTCATGCGACGGACCGGCAGTTTAAATGCGATTTCATTGGCTGTCATAAGGACTTCAAGACTGCGCCCGAACTTCAATCACACAAACGGATCCATAACACGGAACCCACGTTTAAGTGCGCTGTCGAGGGCTGTCGACAACGGTTTCATTTATACACTCAACTCGAGAAACACCGACAGAGTGTCCACTCGTGGCCGCGTCGGGTCCGACAACCGGGTCGTCGGGTGTCGTGTCATTGGCCCGGATGTGACTTCACCACCACTAAAGCCAAGTCTGGGCTCAAACACCATCAATACAAACACACGGGTGAGCGGCCCTATGTCTGCGATTGGCCAGAATGTGGCAAACGGTTCGCCCGACCCTTCGCTTTGAAAGAGCACAAGAATATACACAACAATCTCAAGCCATACGCCTGTCATTGGCCCGGATGTCAGTACCGGTGCGCCAATACTGCAAATCTCTGTAAACACTATAAACAAGTGCACAAAAAATGATTTCTTTTCATCATTTTTAAGTCATTTTTAATATATTTGAATAAATTTTAATTGATTTTAACACTTATTCTTACTGTTAATTAATTAATTAAACTATAATTTGAATTTAAAGTTTATTTATTTGACAATCGTTTCCATTATCACTGCATGTCTTGGAGACGACTCCAGGATTTACCACAGAATTGATTGTTTCGTTTGATTTCTCCACACATTGTCTTTAATATGTGTTGACTAATAATGATATCAACGGATAATATGTGTCCACAACTGGAAGATTAAATTGATATTAACAACAATTAAATACAGTTTTCATTACATTATTATTCGTTATTATTTCCAATTTCTAGAAAAAAAACTAAATAAAAACTTTTGAAAAAAATTTCAAACAATAGTTAAAAAAGTATTTCAAACGAAAAACTTTCACTTGATTTCAAGTTTCACTGCGTTTCACATCCTTTTCAAAGTCTTCTCACAAATCATCACAAATTGTGTCCAAAATGGAAATTTTAGCGAAGATTACAAATCTGTTCTCCCGTTTCGTCTCGTATTGGTTCGGAGCTGTGTTTCCGCAATACAGCCAACACTCGGACGACAACGAACCCGATGTCAGCCCAACCGAAGGCATCGGATTCCCAACGGTTTACAACCACTTCGACCGCATTGTCGACTACATCGACGACTTGCCGAAGAGACGGAAAGCACTGCTGGCCAGCCATTACGCGCGCCCGCGAGTGGTGCAGCCGTCCGGTGGCCAACGAAGGCCTGATCCGCACCCCAACAGTGGTGCCCAACGCCGGACTGACCCCAAACTATACACCAGCGGTCAGTCCAGGCCTAGCCCTCAACCTATGACCGGACGCCCAGTCAGACTCGACTCCGGGGCCAAAGAGGTTTTCCACTTCAAAAGTGGTCAAAAGGCCGCCAAAGGGGTCGCAAAGGATAGACTCGATCCACAGCACGCGTTGTCCAGAGCTCGGACAGAGTGTCGGCCGTCGGTCGTCGACCCAAAAGCTTTCGGCTCTTACTACTGGATTCTCGACTCCGACGAATGGCGTCAAGAGTTGGACGACTGGGAGCGCCAGTACTCGCAGTTGGAGAGGGAGTACGAGTCGGGCAATCGTACAGCCGATTGGCGACGGCGTTGGGCCGACTGGTGGTCTCGTTATGACCGGTGGAGCACAGCGTTCGGCCTCTGGTGTAAAGGCTTTGACGAGTGGAGGGCCGGCGGGCGTCGGGTGACCGATACGTTCGGTCATCCGATGGCCCGTTAGAGCGCTGGGCAGTCGTGTGTGTGAAGAGGTATAGGTGTGTGAAGCAGGGGTTGGGGGAGTGGGGAGTGTATGAGCGGTGAGTGGTTTGGACACAGAACCAGAGGTGACCCGTCTTTGACCCTTTCATTCCTGCGGGCGTTAGGATAGACACAGAGCCGGCGGCGACCCGTCCACAGACCCACCGCAACAGTTACACTCCCCCGGGGGTGACCACAACATCGGTCACCACCTCTTCACCACACGAGTCGGGACGTACGAGCCGTGAGGACCGACCGCTTTCTTCTTCAGAGTTTAGAAATTAAAAGTTTTTTTTGAAAATTGATTGTATTTTACATTTATTTCTTGCTATTAATTGTCATAACATTTACTTTTAATCATATATTTCTCACATTAAGTGTTGTTTAACTGATAATTGATTTGCAAAATAAATACATATTTAATAATAAATGAATGCAATTGTGTTTAAGTGACACAAAATAATCATTTGATTCGTCATTACAAACAAATTGAAATCAAATTTACATTCAATTCATTCATTGATTTGTCTGTCCTTTACTTTGAGTTAAAATAAATGATTGAATTAATGGTAACACGAGTTGAATGGAGTTTGCATTGCATTCAATCCTATTCTTACTATCAATTCATTAATTTAATTATAATTAAAATTTTATTGATTTGATAGTCGTTTCCATTATATCACTGCATGTCTTGGAGACCATGTTTTGAATTGATTACAGAATTCAATTAAACAACTCTTGTAATGGACTACATTCGCGGTGTCCACTCATATCTTATCCATCGTTGAGATGCCGAAGAATGCGAACCAATTAGTCTTCAACTGATCCGTGAATTGCAATTAACATCTGAAACATTTTGCTCACAAAAAGTGCCAAAAAATGGTTTAGCTTTTGTTTTTAAAAGACGTTTAGTTTTAAATAAAGTGTTAATAAAAACAACTTTACGTTAAATTATATTTAAATTTACATTTAATTCAATCCTTTTTATCCATTAATTGGTCTCATATTTAGTGTCAAAAGTGTTGACAAAATAAATGATCAAAACTTTGTCTTAACTTTTGTCTCATTTTTAGCGCTATTTTTTGGTTCAAAATAGTTGTCAAAAGTCACGTGACTTTCAGTCCCTTTAAAAGTAAACACAAAACAAATGATTATTTATTTCATTGTTTTTAATTGTATTTAAAGTTAATTATAGTTTTGATTGTATTTTACACTCAATTATGGATTCAATGATAAGTAAAAAGTCATTAAATATTAGTATAAATGATATTTTGGATGAATTAATGGCTGAAAACAAACGACTTTTACATGAAATCAAGT